ATATATATTTTTTTTTTTTTTAAATCTTGATCCAGGGAGACTTTTGCTAAAGAAGAGTTTATCAGGTGTTCTGAAATGACTTTACCCATGATTCTCAACCAGGGTCAATACTACCTACTCCCAGAGGGCTTTTGGAAATGTCTGAAGGTGTTTTGAATCATCACAATGATTTGGTGTGCTGCAGACATTTAATCTTAGGGTCAGGCATGCTAAATGTCTTACAGGAAGTAGATCAATCCCTGATGAAGAATGGTCTTGCCCAAAGTACCAGTAGCATCCTGGTTGACAAACATTGTGCCCAAACCATGTTGATTGAATCTAGTGTCTTTGGATGGCTTAAGCCTGGATGGGTCCCCAGACCAGGAACTCACCTAGGACCAAAGCACATTCCTTAGGGTGCCATGAGATATTCTTTTGGTGATTGAAGGTCTCAGGCTATGGGAGGGGGCATTGACACAGACCACCCAGGGGTTTTCCAAATGTCCCTCCTCCAGGTGTGCTTATCTTTTGGTGTCACAATCTTCCTTGCTGATTACTCATAGGTTGATCTGTCGACTTGTCTGTATAGAGTGCCTCCCAACTGCAGTGTGTCTTCTCCTCCCTCCCCTGCCTCTGGTTTTGAGCATTCCCTCACCACCCACCTCCTACCACCATCATTGTCTCCAGGTGGCCCTAGCCTGCCGGGACAGCAGTATTCCCCTGGCTCATGATCTCACTTGGATTTCACAGAGGGAGCGCTGGCTAGTCACTGGAACCTTGACAGGCTGCCAAGCCACTTGTATAAGAGAGGTACCTGGGTGAATTGACAGCCTGGCACAGGGGCCATTACACTTGTAACACCAGTTGGCAGTCACTGGCTTGGCTGTCCGTAATCCCAGTGCAGCCGAACTGCAAAGAAAACCTCATCTGTTCTAGCAACACTGGCGCCTCTGTGACTACTTGGATAATACAAAGAGATATTCTCAAGTACCCACCGATTGCCATCCTAACATTTGAATGGCTAAATATCTTTTCATGTTCACAGTGCCTTGTTTGCCAACCCTGGTTGTAAAGGAGCTTCTCATTCCCAAGCCTGTTGCTTTTAGGCTTTGGGAAGATCAGCTTTACTGACTCTAAAAAAAAAAAAAAAAAAAAGTACACTAGAGCCGAGAGTAGGTGCAAATCACAGCAAATAGATGGCATAAGTTTCAAAACTGACCCACCCCCATGGATATGTTTCCAGCTACCCAAATATTAAAAGTAGGAGAACTAGTCTGAATTGGGACATGCCAAAAGTGTAAAACACATGCTGGATTTAGAAGACTTCGTATATAGAGGAATGGATAGATGGATGGATACAGATAGAGTTACAGATACAGGTAGTGATTATAGATAGAGATAGAGATAGAAATATAGATACAGATAGGTCCCTGGATAGTGCAAATGGTTTGCACTGGACTACTTCAAACCCACCAGCTGCTCCTGAGTAACCCTGTACAAGGACCAACTCAATAGCACTTAACAACAACAACCCTAACCTAAAAGTTGGCAGTTTGAACCCGCCCAATGGCACCACAGAAGAAAGGTCTGGCGATCTGTTTTCATAAAGATTATAACCAAGAAAACCCTATGAAACAGTTCTACTCTGTAACACACGCGGATTCATGAGTTGAAATTGCCTAACAGCAACAGGTTGATTGGTTGGTTTTCAATAGCTATCAATATATCCATATATATTACATAATTATATCTCACTAATAGCTTTTTTATATTGATTACATATTGAAAAAATTATTTTGGATATGTGAGTTCAATAAAATACATCATTAAAATTAGCAGGAAAAAAAAAGGAGGGCAGCAGAGCAGATGGAGCCCATATGTTGTCAGATTTATGACAGCGCACAAGACATATGACATAGTTCCTCTGCATTGGTACATTTTTTCAAGTAGCTAAACTGATCGTCTATAAAACCAGTTACAATCAAAACTGAACATTTCACTGGTAACTCAAATCATTTGATTTAGATTATGAATTCTGAAATAGTAAACTTTTTAGTCTTATAAATGTGGCTTTTGTTTTTGTTAATGCCTAAAAAATTAGTTAAGGGACAAACCAGGATTAACATTCTGACTTAGCAGAAAAAGCGAGGGAAGAACCACTACAGGGCCTGGCACTTAATAAGCATGGTGAAGGGAGAAGTAAGGGCCAGAGGGCAGGAAGGAAGAAGGCAGAGAGGGAGGAGGACCTGACAAAATTCAGAAAGACCTCCTTCTGCTCCCTGAGCCTTTGTTGTTTCCCAGGGCTCAGGCCTCTATCAGAACTCATGGGTCACTTTGCTCAGAGCCCAGGGCCTGGACCATCATAGAAGTCTGGTCAGCTTCTCTAGATCCCCTGTGTCTGCCATGCTTTCCTAACAGCAGCCTTCTCCCCTGGACTCATTTCCTTCTTCCCCATGTCTGGCATTTAAAGTAACTTTGAACTGAAATGGGTCTTTCTCTCAGGGCTCTTTTCTCTTCCACAGGATGTGATGGTAACACTCCAGGATCGGCTTTCTCTGAGGTACATTGAGCACTTTGCTCTTGTCCTTGAGTATGCTGGGCCCGAACAGAATCACAAGTTCCTACTTCTCCAGGACAAGCAGCCCCTGGCTTATGTAAGAAACTTCTTTCTCCTACACTGATTGCTTTGCGTGCATGTGGCTTCTACTAGAGAGGAAGACGAAGGCCTTCCTTCTCTAGAAAATTCATACTGTCATATTCAGAAAGACCCAGAGTTCTAAATTTAGGTCAGTATGACCAAACTCCAGAGGACTTTTGGAAATGTCCCTTGTGACTCAAGGACATGAAAGTCTTGGTCTCTAGAAGGGAATGTTTGGGATGGTAATTCACCGCACTCAGGATATGGAGTTTGAAGAACAGCGTCAAGTTGACTATCTCCTAAAAACTCTGCTTACTGTATTTTTTTGTTTCCTGCAAGGAAAGATGGCCCTTCAGATGAAGGCTAAAATTTGAAAGGATCAGGTCATGGAATTTCCCACAAGAGCTATTTAGTGAGACTAGAACACATGGGGATTGAGTATGGGCTAAGGAGAGCCAAGGATGGGCACCATGTTACCTAGATCAACTTTCAAGGTAGACTAGGAAAACATTTTTGTTCAGTATGTTTCTTAACCCTTGCCATATGGGAAAAGGCTAGAGAACTCCACAATAGTTGGATAGTGTTTCACCAATTGATGAAGCACCAAGAAGAGTCAAAGGTTCAGCCAATATTCTCAGGTAGATTGGGAAAGAATTGGAGAGGGACAGTTGTGAAGAAATACAATTTCAGAGCGTAAATGGAAGGTAAACCAAAACTAAAATCAAACACATACCATGAAAGGATTTTAGGAGGGAAAACATCTCAGCCAAATGGGATCCAGAGAATCATAGATGGGAAGGGAAGGTCTGAGTTCCCACACCCACCTTCACGAGGCCTTTTGAATTCAATTTGTCTCTTGTTCCATTTGGTAATTTAAAAACTTTATTTATTAAGAAAAATTTCAAACAAACACTAAAGTAGATAATGAGCCCTCATTACCCACCCCCAGTTTCAACAATTATCAATATTGTGCCAATATTATTTCCTCTCTTCTTCCAAATGGGAGTTGACATCTTTGATTTAACTTAATGCTCGAAGCTGAATTCCTATGATTTGTAAAAGCATTAGCCCCACAGCAAGAAAAGAGTCTTAGAATTTCCCAGGATCCCTTTCTTCCTACCTAGTGTTCGGGTGACTTAGACCCAATTGGTAATAAAAGGCATTTCTTGGATAAGTGATTCCAAAAATTCAAGTCACTTTGAGTAAGAGGTGATACAGAAAAGGCCTGGTTCCTCATCACTTTCCTCTAAGAGTCATTGAAATTTTTCAGGTGGGAGACAGGTTGGGAAACAGTAGCCTAGAGGTCTGCTCCAAACTCCACCTTGAGGAGCCACTGATCTCTGATTTCCTATTACCCTAGCCACTGATTCTGGACTTTTTTCCCTCCTGGGACTTCTCCTCCCTGGGATCCAGGTGGTGCAGAGGACACACTATCAAGGAATGAAATGCCTCTTCCGAATAAGCTTCTTTCCCAAAGACCCTGTGGAACTGCTGCGTCGGGATCCTGCTGCTTTTGAGTACCTGTACATTCAGGTAGAGTTTAACTTGAGGATGGACACAGAGACCAATGGGCAAGCAAGCCAACAAGCCATTTGGCCATCACAACGAAGCTGCTATATATATATATATATATACATTTTTTTAAATGTTTTATTGTGAATTATATGATAGTTTACATGGGAGAATATTAGTTTTACATTCATTCTATCGTATATCGTTTCATTGCCATGGTTACAATCCCCTCCATGTATCATCAACCAACCAAAGAGTATATCCTACAAGCCTGATCCCTCCGACCCCCAACCCAACACCCCAGTTGTCATCACACAGGCCCTCTCCCTCTCTGGGTCTAAAGTCCCCAGCTGCTCCATCGCCCCACGTCATCATCTTTGCTTCCATATCAGGCATCACTGCTTCTTGGGTAGGGTCCCGCTCTGGGCTCTTCTCCGTTGATGGTCCTAGGGACCTCCGCTCCTAGACTGGAAAGTTAATCACTCCCTTCCATGCTATAAAATGTCTACCTTTACATTTCCAACCCTCAAAATCAGTCCTGATAACAGTTATTCACTATTGCATCACAAGAGACCTATCTGCATTTCATTTCATCAGCTCCACCTGGACAGATTGGATACTACTCACTGGAGATTCTGCCTTCCTCCAGGCCACCTGGCTCTAGGTTCCCTCTTGCAAGGTTGTAAGCCAGTCACTTCTTACCTTTGTAGTCCCCCCCACCACCACCACCATTTTGGGTAGCCAATGTCCAAGTTGCCCATCCCTGTCTACTCTGTGTGTGGAAGGAGTGGGAATGACTCCTGCTATAAGGATTTGTTCCCTCTTTTGAGTTACTGCATCCATAGGTGTAGGTCAAGTTCATCAAATTGTATCAGATTACTCTTTTTTTCCTCTTCTTTCTTCTTCTGGTTGAGCTCGGTCATCCAGTCA